CTAAATTCCGTGCATGACATGGGAAAGTGCTGGGTCTTTCATGAAGGTTCACAACAGTCCATGTGCCATAATAACACATTCTTTGATGACATCATGGAGGGAGGTATTTTGAAGGTGGGGCTTTCAGGGTTTGCAGTAAGGATGTCAATCTGGTGACCACCACGAAGCCCAAGTATAATTTCAATAACCAGCGAAGTCTGAACTTAGAACCCCTAACTTGCATTCTTGTTCAGATCAAAATGATAGATACAGAATCTCCTACAGACAAAAAGGATGAATAGCTCAACAGTTGCCACATGAATTTTGAGGATCTCATTGTAGAGGAAATGCAGAAACATGGTCACCCTGACATTCTCATGTGGCTTAATAGAGACATGCAACTATCTAAATGCATTAATACCTCCCTGGTCTTATTTTTGTTATATATTCTGGGAGAAAGGAAGAAATTTGGTAGGCCCCTGACACCTTCCTTCCTCCTTTCCCTCCTCAACCCCTCCTTTTACTTTTTTTTTCTTTTATTGGTACATTTTAGGTATACAATATGTTTACATTTATCATTGTGTGCTTGTACCTGTACGTGATGTATCTTGGTTCTTATTTTTTTTTTCTCCATTGCCTATATAATTCATAATTTGAAATGGGAAAAGCTCCAAAGGTGTAGGGATGGTGGGAAGGGAAGGGGAAAGGGAAGAAGGGAAAGGAAAAATTACGAGAAAAGATTAAAAAATGGAAATGAAATCTATGTAAATAGGGAAGCGTGGAAGGGGTGAAGGGCACACAGACAATGGGGAAAAAATTTTACTTTTTGTTTCTAAGGGAAACTGATAATCTTCTTTACTCTGTTATTCTCTTAAAATGTTTTGTGTTTTATGATTTTTTAAATAAAAAATAAATGAATAATTAAATTGCTACACTAGAAGAAGAGTTCCTCAAAGGCTAAAGATTCAAGGAGGAATAGACGCTCCAAACTCTCTGGCTCTCTGTGATGGTGAGAAAGTGAGTGCTCTATGACAGATGCATTCCTGGTGCTACTAGGCCATTCATAATCACTTTGATGTTCATGGCTATATTTGTGATCAGTGACCAAAAATATCAAAGTTAACAAACATGAGTGCTCCAGCATTAGTTGCATGCACATTTACAATTGTTATATCATTTTACATTTATTCATTGATCATCAAATTGTGACTTTGTCTCCCTTTACAGCTTTTGTCTTTCAGTCTATTTTTTCTTATGTAAGAGTATCTGCTTCTCTCACTTCTCATTTCCATTTACATGGAATATCTTTTTACATTCTTCCCTTTTGCTCTTTTTGTATTTTTACTGGTGAAGTGAATTTCTTGTAGACAGCATATCATTGAGTCTAGTTTTTTATCCATTCATCCAGTCTGTATTTTTCAGTTGAGAATTTACTCAACAGTATTCAAAGTTATCATTGATTACTAGCATAACATTAAACTTCTCATATTTCTATTAAAAATTTGTATTATTCTTCCTCTTGCTCTTCTTTTAAGATTTTGTGATTTATTGTATTCATGCAGTTTGACTCATTTCTATTTTCTTTTCTGTTTCTACTTTGATGGTGAGTTTTATAATTTCACATATTTTCATGATAGTAGTTGTCTTTCTTTTGCCTCTGGACACAGGAGTTCCTTAAGGACCTTGGCAAATCCAGATGAAGTGATGGAATTCTTCATTTGCTTATCTTGAAGTCTTTATTTCTGAAGGATAATTTTTCTAGGGATAGCTTTATGGGTAATTTATTTTTATTCACAACTTGGAATAAGTCAACTCATTCACTCCTGTTCTGTAAGCTTTCTGCTGGGAAATATACTGTTAGTTTAGTGAGGGTTCCCTTAAATGTAACTTGGCACTTTTGTTTTCTAGTAAAAATTATTTTTCTCATTATTATGGCCTATATTTTGATGTCCCTCAATAGCCTCATGAATTCGTTAATGGAACATTTGCGAGGTGATTGAGTCATAGGCTGATATAGCTGACTTGTTCTCATGAAGTAGGATCTGAATGTGATAGTTGCAATACTGGAGAAATGACCTGGAAGTGTACATCTCCCCTCCTGGCTTCTCTGTTTCCCTTCACTTCCTGGTCATCATGATGTGACTGGCATTCCTTTATCTAGACCCTTGTACCATGCCCTCCTCTCTTAGCTTCAGACAACCACGGGCTAAAAATGTGAGCCCAGATGAAGCTCTCTTCCTTTAATTGTGGATGTCACACACTTTCCATGCATAGTAGAAAACTGGGGCAGCTGTTTGCTAAAGAGAAAACTGACACAAGTGGTACATTTGGCTCTGGTCATTTATATGAAAGCATAAGTCACATAACGACTAAGAAAGGTTGGTTCTGAATAATTTCCAGTAAAAGGCTACTTCTCATCACAGATCTCTTCTGCTGAATATCCTTGAACATTTGGCATTTTATGATTGCAGCAAGAACTGATGTCACCTGTATCCCTCTCCCTCATGCTCTTATCTGCTTATGTTGCACCAGTGTTCACACAAAGTGACAGAGCACACTTCATCAAGAAATCTATGAGCTGTTGCATCCCTGGACAAATAAGTGGTATAGAGCTTCTTCCTCAGTGACACAGTGTTAATAAAATACAGTCCTATTTTTATATGATGGAAAATACCCAGAAGATAATTGTGTTTAATTCAGTAGATGCATATGAAAAATAAAATTTCCTGCCCAAATGAACAAATTCTGGATTATATATGTCAAAACAATAAACTTGATTTAATGAATGTAAGTATTCCATTAAAAATGTAGGGAAAAGTATTATTATTTTTGGAGGACATATGACTATTGTACAATCTAAGATTAAACCTGGTCCAGAGTTTTAATAAGTACGTTGTTGACTGATTTCTCATAACCCTTGTTTCAAAACACCCATCAAGTTACCAAGTGTGGTTATAGGGGAATTGTGTTGTTAACATGTAAGTAAAAATAAATCTTTAGACATTATTTTTTCTTATAAAGTACCTTATTTAATTTCCTAAAAACAGTATTTTATTTTCAAAGCATTTGGGACAAATTGAAATTGAGAAACTCCATAGATTCTTCAAAATTTCAGAACTTGGCAATTGATAGAGGAGAGCTTTTTTTTCCAATACTTTTCATTCAGCTGTGAAAATGTTTTCCACAGTTGGTGATATCCAAGCCTTTTATGTTAGTGTGGTCATTTTCATTTCTCCATTTCATGATGATTCCCTAAGAGATTTATGTTCTTCCAAGCCTAATGCTGCACAAGGTATTAATAACATCTTCTAAGAATTTTTATTAAATTTACAAGGAAATGTGGCAGAAATAGATACATTCCACCTGTTTAAATAAATCATTATATGCATATTATATTATTTATACTTTATGTTTATTTGAGCAAAGAAGTTGTTAATAGTTCCCATCAGGTAGGAGAAAAGGAAGGAGAAATCCTATAAATAGACTGTTACATTTTATTTTCTAATCATTTTTTCTCCTTGAATTTTCTATCCAGTATAGATCATGCGATATTCACTTTCACGAATATTAATATGTGGATCTTTAAGTCTTTTAGAAAATAGCTCTGTGATTATGTAAGTTATGAAGATGCAAAGAAATGCCATTAGAAGCCAAACAAGTATAAATAGAGCAAACGTGTCTAGAATATATAATTTTGAACATGCATGTTTCTTTACCAGGAAATATGGTTGCATGAGCAAAGTTGATGGAGAAATGGAATTGAGTACATAGGGGAATACATTTGCCTTAAATATTATCAATGTTCTTTATCCAGTTTCCAGTTGATGGGCACTTGGGCTGTTTCCAAGCTTTAGCTATTACAAACTATGCCACAATAAACATGGGTACACATATATCTCTGTGATATGATTCTTTTAATTCTTTTGGGAAAATACCCAGCAAGGGAATAGCTGTGTCAAATGGGACCTCCAGCCCTAGTTCTTTGAGGTGTCTCCACACATGCATATTGAGGCCATACTCTTAAGTGAAATAAATAAGACACACATGTATAAATACCAAATAGTTTCTCTAGTGTGAGAAACTGACAGTGTAAATAAGGATTAAAAGGATTAATAACTAATAATTGATACTTTGAAATAGGAAAAAGTCCAAAGGGGTAGGGGTGGTGGGAGGAGATAGGGAAAGGAAAGAATGGAAAGGAAAAATTATGAGAAAAGAAAAAAAAAAAGGAAATGAAGTATGTAAATAGGGAAGGGTGGAGGGGTGAAGGGCACACAGGTAATGGGGAAAAAATAAGAACCAAGATACATAATGTGCAGGTACAAGCACCCAATGATAAATGTAAATGTATTGTATACCTAAAATGTACCAATAAAAGAATTTAAGCTAAATAAATAAATAAATAAATAAATATTATCAATGAAGTCTATATTTTCAGACTAAATTTATTTCATTAAATTATATTCTGTGGAAACTATATCTTTATGTTTATTTTGAAATGATCATGATTGAGAAGTCACAGAAGCATTCCTATTTTGATTTTTTTTCTGCATATGCAGTGTGGTCTAAAATACAATGAATGTTTAAATTAAAAAATATATTAAAGTGAGATACATTGCATTAACCCCTCTTGTTATGTCTGCCTCCTTTCCTCAATTCATTAAAAACATTTACATTTCCTAGTCATTTTGACTTTGGGAAAGAGCCTAAAATTTCATTTTTTCAACATCCAGTGAATAAGGTGGATGAGGACACAGCATCATATTTTTTCAGCTTGTCTTTCTGTTGGATGGCATTTGGGACCAATATTATCCTATTTTTGATCACACCTTGAAAAGACACTCATGAAAGCAGACTTCAGAGCTGCTTCAGAAAGTGGCAAGAATGATGGATAAGACAGCTGAAAAGTTACTTTGAAAGGGACTAGTGGTAATGTATCTTTTACTGTAAAATTTTTAAAAAGTAAAACAATATATTTTCATCATGATTTGTATTCTTTTTCTTTCTAATAGCAGTCACTCTCATAGATGTGGGATGATACTCGCTAGAGTTTGCATTTTCAGCTTTCTGATGATTAGGGATTCTGAGCACAATTTCATATACCTATTGGGCATAGGTAGGTGAAAAAATATCTATTTATATCCTTTTTCCCTTGGTTACATTGACTTTTTCTACTGCTAAGTTGTGTTATTGTCTTACATATCTGTTATGTTAACTTCATATAACATGTAAGGATTCCAAATATTTTCTTCTTTCCTAGAAATGTTTTATTTTCACCTTACAGTTCCTTCACTGTGCAGAAGCTCTTCCATTGAGTGTCAACCCATTGGTCTCTCTTGTTTTTGTTGTCTGTGATTTTGTTCTTTCCTTAAAAAATCACCACATAGACCAATGTCAGTCAACAAGGTTTTCCCCTTATTTTCCTTAGGATTTCTGAAGTTCCTGGCCTTCAATTTAAATCTCTGATCCATTTTGAGTTTGTTTTATAAAGAATATGAGATGAAGGTCAAATACCATTACCATGTGTCAGGAAATCATTATTTCCTGATATTATTTAAGAAATTGTCTTTTCTCTGTTTGTGTTTGTGGCCCCCTTGTCAAAGACAATTTAACCATATTCAGTTTTTATTGTTGAATCCAGTACTATGGTCTGTCTTTTGTTATGCCAGTATCATTACTATAGCATTGCAATAGAATTTACAGTCTAACACTGCTTTGGAACCTTTTATTTGTGTGAAAAATACTTTTTGGAGTTTGGTAGGAATTGTCCTGAATTTGTAGATCTATTTATGTAGTGAGGATGCTTCAGTGATATTATTTCATCCCCACATTAAAAAAGAATATGCATGCATTCTTGTATGTCTGATTTAATTTCACCTGATGAGGTTTATTCCTTCTATTTCTTTCTCTTACCCAATTTCTCTGGCTGAAATTTCAGTTACTATGTTGAACAGGAGTAGTAAGAGCAAGTACTTTGTCTCCGTCCTGAAGTTAGAGGAAATGCTTTCAGGTTTTTTTTCTATAGTATGATGTTGGCTGAGTTTTTCATATATTGTCTTTATTATAATGAGGTAAGATCTTTCCAACTTCATTTTATTTAAGGTGTTTATCTCAAGGGGATGTTGAATATTTTAAAGGCTTTTTCTGCATCTACTGAGATCAGGGGAATTTTATGATGTGGTATATTACATTTATTATTTCTCTTGTATTAAATCATACTTGTATCCCTGGGATGAAATCAACTTGATCATGGTGCATGACATTATAATGTGTTCTTGGCTTCTATTTTGGATTTAATTGGGATTTTGGTATCTGTATCTATCAAGAATGTTGGTCTTCAGCATTGTTGTTGTTTTTGTTTTGTTTTTATCTGGTTTTGGCATTGGGTAGAATTGGCTTCATAAAAGAAATTTGGAAATATTCCTTCCCTTTCCTTTCCATAGAGTCGTATGAAAGTTTTGATGTTAGTTATTTTCTAAAGGTCAAGTTAACTTCAGTGGTAAATACATCTAATACTCTGCTTTTATTTTGGGGGAGAGTTTTTATTACTGCTTAAACTTCATTGCTTGCTTTTTTATGTTTAGGTTTTTATATCTTATTTGTTCTATATTGTAAGCTCAGATGTGCCTATAAATTTAACAAATTTATCCATTTCTTGTAGATTTTCCAATTTATTAGAGTACAAAATTCAAACTAGTTCCTAATGATTCTCCAGATTTCAGTGGTATCTGTCTTAATATCTCTATGTCTCAGGGAAATAAATGAAGGTTCTAATTGACATGTGGATTGTCATACACAACAGTTTTCAAATTCTTGTATATTTTTCCATATCATGTATAACATTTGCAAGACATGCTTCATAAATCCAAAAATAACCTATAAGCAGGGATATCAAAGACAAAACAAACCAAGGATGACATTTCTTCTTTTAGTAAATTGTATCAGGGTATTTACCTGAAAATCACTCATCAATCATTTCACAGGCACTTATATTAAATAATGTGATGTCCCTTTGCCCTAGGGATATGTTTACCTAGACATAGAAAAGAAACATGTTGATTTAATCTTTTTTTCATGAGAAAAAAGATGGATTTTCAAGAAAGAAATGATCTAATAGATTAAATTCAGAGAAACTCAGGAAAAAAATACAGGGAAATTACCTAGTAGGCCAAAGAATTCAGAGGTTGACATCAAATGAGGTGATATAGCTGAAGGAATATTGTAGAAACCCCAAGTTTCCTTTTGACTAAGTCTTCATGGCAATTCCAGCTCATAAAACCACACTGAAAAGCTTGCTGAAAAGTAGGAGTTTTAGTCATTGAGAAAACTAACCACCAAAGCCAAGAATCAGTGAATTTAGTGATTGTCCAAAACCAAAATTCTTGTAGTTCTATATCCTATTCCCAATTTTCTAGAAGAAAAGCTCAACCAACCAAAGAGTAATAATAAAGAAAGTGGTCTGATTGGACAGGTGGCCAAAGAATCCAAGTGTGGTATAATTAGATACCAGTGTCACTTCCCTCCATTGGCAGCAGTTAGGAATGTAGATCTTTTCTTCCACTCTCTTGAAATTGGGAAAAATATCTCTGCCATCACTTAATGCTATAGGACCAAGTTCTCAGAAATTATGCTCTTGTCTCTTACTTCACACACAGCCTTGTCCACTCCACTAGAGTGTTCCACCCTAATGGCCTAATCACTTCCCAAGTGCTCAGTCTCCAGGGATTATCACAAAGGATTTCAGTTTCCACATGTGAGATTTAGTGAGACACATCATTCAGTCCAGAGCAGAATTGTTCCATGGTTTTGACCAGAATGGTTTAAAATGCATGAATAGCTTAAAATTACCATGAATTTAGATGGAGAATATCATAGGCAGTGTTGTTTTGCCTCATCCATGAATTGCACCAATAGGAGATAGGGAAAACACTTCTGATCCTTCCTAGTTTGTTTAATCAGGCTACTAGAGAAAGGATGGCAGAGTTTGTATAGTAGGAAGTTAGGGTGAGCCCTGACTATGGAAGCATATCCACTTGAAAATTCTCTAAAAGTTGTAGTAAATTTGGGAAAGGAAATTCATTTTCTTAGAGAATTGGAACAGGAATTTGATTCAACTAAATTTAAGCTCAAACAAAGTTCTAGGTACCTAAATACATGACATAAAAATACAATACATCTTTCAAGTAGATCAGATATATTGATAACATTTTGCCTCCTGTATCCTCTTGAGTTAAATTTTTCAAGCATTGCTCAGTCTGTGTCCTGATTTACTACTGCATACACAAAAACAGTCATGGTCATTCCTTATATATGTCTTCTGACCAGAGATCCACATAGCCTCCCTGGAAGCACAACCACTCAGGATGGATAGTGACACACCTGGTCTCCTTTATACACACTCATGCCTGTGGACTCATCATTACTCACCACGAAAATTCAGGAGGTCTGCAACATGAATATACACCAAGTGGTTCATCAACACAGGACCCACAGATGCAAAGGATAAAACAAATGCTTTGCATGCTGATGCAACGTTCTCATTGTGGTATGGCTGTTCACTTGCCTTGTGCAATTCCAGTATCATCTCTCTATTCTGAAATATTTTGGAATATTTTTACATGATAAAATAGCAAATAAATATTTGACTCTCTGATATCTAAAATGAATAATTACTTATTTTTAAGATTTTATTTAATTTTACAAAATATTACATTTAACAAATTCCATGGATTATTTCTACGCAATGAAAATTTGATTCTTTCATATTTATGCAAACTTCTATTGAGAATAGATAAAGGCATCAAAAATCTCAAACTTGCAGTTGTAATCTTGTATGAGTACGTCATTTTATTCACCAAGATTGTAGAGATTTCCTTCATCTAAAGTTAGTAACAGGCATTGAACACAAACCTACTAGAAACAAAGTGAATATTGTTGAGAGCACATAGCAGAATAATGCTGAGTGCTGCAAAATGTAATTGATGCCATGGGACTGGATCTCAAAGTGCTTATCATATAGTGCTGGAGTCCCAGGCACATAGATCAGGATGTCATCTGGTAGGTTTCAAAATTGAATAAGAGTGATGACAATCCAAAGGAGAAAAAACACATCAGTAAATAGTATGAAAACACTTCATAAATGATGTGACTGCTTCACTAATTGAATATAGGATAGAAAAACACAAATAGAAGGAGGACAGGGCCTACTGAGTGCCAGAGAGGAAACCAAGAACCAGAAACACAGAGAATGGTCACAGGGTAACTGTGGTCACCAGATTGGAGCTGCAGTTTTAGTGGAGTCATGATGCTCAGAATTAGGGAAAAAGAAGCAGGAAATGATAAATTTGGTGTATCATATACATGAACAGAAGTCTGGAAATAAAACATTTTATGTCTCAAAAACTGCAGCTGTCTAGTCACACTTGGTGGAACTGCAGAGACTTAAAGCAAAACAATTTAAATTCATGGATTTTAATCTGAGTATCTGAAGGCAGGCGGAGAAAGTATAACATTGCAATAAGAAGGAGTGTGTGTGGTGTAGAATGTGGTATGGCATTTTGAACACCTTTAAATTAAGATGACTATACGTGAGGTAACTGAGCTAAGCATCTAAGTCAGAGACCCCAGATGAAATGCTCTCTCCTTCGAGGGGGAGGCAGGCAGTCTGACATTGGATGTAGGTACCTGAGAAAGCAGAGGAGTGGCAAAATATAACATAGAAACCAAAACTGGGAAGGGGAGAATAAAATGAAAATATAAGGAATCCTATGAGGATATGTGCTGAGGAATGTAGGCAAAGAAAGCAGCAGGAATACCTGTTTGCAGATGGTAAAATATGACTTGGAAACATGTGTCATTAATACACTAGAGGTAGAGGCATGGGCATGGGTGTGGGCCACAGATATAAACTGACTTATAGTAGGTTCAGTTAGACCCCTATCTCATGATCACTAACAGACCTCTTGGACTCTCAGAGATGTCTATTTTTGGATGCCAAAGTTTGGTTCACAATGTTTAGAAATACACATAAACATAGTTTTATGTATGGATGCAAACTTATGTATGCTAAAATATGTATTCTATGTAAACAGGTAATGATTCTATGAATTGTTCCAATGAAGACATTCTAGGTAGAGGACTGAGTCACTGTTTCAATTTTGGGCTTGCTGTGAGCATTGACCACACAAAACCCTTGCAAGCGTGCCCCTCACCTCTGTGTTTCTCAGGCTGTAGATGGCCGGGTTGAGCATTGGGGTGATGACGCCATAGAGCATGGAGATTAGTCTGTCCCTGGAAAGAGAGCTTTGGCTGGAGGAGCGGCGCAGGTAGGTGAAGATGGCTGTGCCGTAGAACAGACCGACCACCAGGAGGTGGGAGGTGCATGTGGAGAAGGCTTTGCACTTCCCTTCTGAAGACTGGATCTTCAGGATGGTGGAGATGATGTAGCCATAGGAGATCAAGGTGGTCAGGAAGGCGCTGGTCCCAAAGACTCCTCCTATCACCAAAGCAAGCATTTCTGCCATGTAGGTGGATGAGCAAGACAAGGCCACAATTTGTGGGATATCACAGTAGTACTGGTTCACCAGATTGGACCTGCAGAAGGACAAGCTGAAGGTGGATATCGTGTGGATGACAGAATTGAGGAATCCAGCTGCCCAGGTCCCAGACACCAGCTGGGCACATCTAACCTTGTTTATTATAACAGAGTAGCGAAGAGGGAAGCAGATGGCCATGTACCGGTCATAAGCCATAACAGCCAGCAAGAAGACTTCAGTCCCCATCAAGGCAACCAGAAAATACAGCTGCAGAGCACACCCAACAAAGGAAATGCTGTGGTCCTCAGTCAAGAGGTTATGCAGCATGTTGGGGACAGTTGTTGATGAGCAGAATATGTCTAAGAGGGACAAGTTTGCCAGGAAATAGTACATGGGAGTGTGCAGCTTTGCCTCAGTCCCAATGGCGAAGAGGATGGCCCCATTTCCCACCAAGGTGACCTGGTAGATGATGGCAAAGGCCACAAAGAGAAGGTAGCGCACCTCAGGGACATCAGAGAGCCCAATGAGGATGAACTGAGTCACAGTGGTGACATTGTAGATGTCCATCTCCTCTCCACCAAGGTCTTTCTGGAAGGAAGAAACCAGCAAACACAGGTTAGGGAGCCAACCGAGGAGCCTAATGCCAAGAAACATCTGGAAACCAATGATATGTGATTGATGATGAAGTATATTGGCCTTTAATTTAGTTAGAGACTCAGCTCCAAAATTAATATGAAAAACATCTCTTAAATGGAATACTTATTTTTTTACACTCCAGGGCCTTTTCAAAAAGCTGCTTCCCCAGCCTAGTAGTAGTAGTACTAGCAGATAATATCTTGTTTAGTGCCATGTTGCCCAGGTTGGAAATGAACTTGTGATTCTCCTGCCTTAGTTTCCCATGGTGCTGAGATTACAGGTATGGGCCACCATACCTGACTACATGGTATTTCTTAAAACATTCATCTTTGGTTTCTTGTCAATAAAAAGCCTTCTGTGGAGCTAAAGAGATATTGAAAATCCACTTTCTTCTTAAAATTTTGTTTTCCCTTTACCTCAGTTTGGGACATTATATATCAGTGAAAATTGGCAGTGCCTTTCTCACACATGTTTCTTTTTGTTTTATATACTTTCACTATGTTCAGTTTTGTACACTTTCTCAATATTGATAACTTGAAGGTAGATGCTGCCTATTCTTCCTTCATATATACACTATAATAAGATTGGGAATAACAAACCCATAAGAAAGGTGACTAAATAACAGGGAAAGAATGAATGCTGAACATCTGCTCTGATGAAATATTTCTACATTGAGGGATCAAAATGTATGATGATGGTTTAAATTTTAAAACTTCATTACAGTAAAAGACACATTGACATGAGTTTACCTCCAAATCTCCCCCCTCCTCAAACACACCCCATGCCTCTTGCTACTTTCTGAAGCAACACTTGAGTCCTCATTTCTGAGTGTCTTTATGAGATGTAATAAAAAATACCATGTGTTCTGCTGCCCAGTGCAGTGCAAAGGAAAGGGAGAGGCAAAAAACATGGTGCTTTGTCCTCATCCACCTTATTCTCTAGAATTGGCGCTATGTGACTTCTAGCTCTCCCCCAAAGTCAAAATGACCAGGAAAGGTAAAGGTTTTGAAACAGAACATGAAAAAGCAACTAAGGATGTTCACAAAAGAAGACTCCCAGAGCTGCTACAGGAAGTGGCAAGAAGAATGAGATGTTAGAAGCCAAAGGGGTGAGATGGGGGATTTTGAGAGAGATTAATGGTGATATGTCTTACTGTAATGTGGGATACTGCCTTATTAATTATGCCCAAATCAGGCTGTAAAGGATTAACCCCACATTTGTTTTGAGAAGTGAGTCCAGCTGGCCAAAGCCTACATGCTGAGGTCAAAGTGACTCTTACTCAAATTTCATTCCCCTGACTAAAACCTTCTTAACTAGAAGGACAAGGTTCTAATTACAACCTTATATTTTGTCTATTGTGTTCCTAATTTGAGAATGCTTTGTCTTTTCATTTACAAGTCTTCCTTTCATTAGTATCCATAGTAACTGCATAACTGCACCTCTTCACATGTAGTTTCCCTTTAGCATGTAGTTAACCTTTACCCTAATTGATTACCAATAAAAATCAGAGGCTTGGACTGACCAGCACCTTTGCTGGTTTCCAACAGCATTGGTTGTCCTGGCTCCCCGGTTTCTCCTTCTCTTTAGTTCTATCTTTCAGTTGTTTTTATTTTGTTTGTTTGCTTGCTTTTCTCTCAGCCTTGTGCCTTAGCATCAAGCCAGAGATCAGAACCTACTACAGAGGTCTCTGATATTGTAATACATTTTTTAAAGTTTAAACATCACTGTATTTCTATGTCATATCTCATATTCAGAAAAAATCAGAATGACAATGCTTCTATAACTTCTAAATCTTTTTTTTTTTTTGGTACTGGGGATTGAACTCGGGTCCTTGCACATGAGAGGCAGGCAGTAGAACCACTGAGCTAAATCCCGAGCCCCTAAATTCTAAATCATGATCTTTTTAACATAAAAATGAACATATTCTTTATTACACAGATCATTATTTAATAAAATAAATTCAGCATGAAATATAGGCTTGATTGGCAGTGTTTAAAGTAAGCATTTCCCTGTATAGTCAATTCCCTTTCCCCCATGAACTTGGCACATGTAAACATATTTCCCAAGAAGGAAACATGAATGTTAAAAATTGCATAATTTTATTCTAGACATGCTGGCTTTATTTTTGTTTTCTGTTCCAATGGTGCTTTTTTGTGACTTCATAACTTACCTAATCACAATGCTACTTTCTAAAAGACTTTAATTGAAGGTCTGCTTAGTAATACTTTTGTAAATATTTTCTGTCCCTGTGAAAGCTAATATCTTGTTAAATATAATGTGTACTTGTTGGAAAACTCAAAATAACAAAATCTTTTTTAAAAATGCAATGGTCTCTATGAAGTTCCCCTTTCCTTTATTTTGCCTGATAGGAACTACATAATAACAACATCTTTGCTTAGCTAAAACATATAGTATAAATAATACAAACTTTACATAATGATTTATTTACACAGGTGGAATGAAACTATTTTCTGATAGCTTATCTTCTTGAAAAATTAATAAGAGTCACTGAGTCTTCTATAAGGTTTTTTATCTTCATATATCATCAGGCTTGGGAGAAAATAAAACTCTTCATAATAATCATCATAAAATATAGGATGAAATTTACTACAATAACATAAAAGGCATTTTGATATCACTAATCATTTTAATGACTGAATAAAAAACATTAAAGTAAAACATCTCCCGTGTCAATTGCGTTCTCAAATGTTCAAAATTCTCTGTATACAAAAGACAAATTTGAGACATTTGCAGGAAAATGGATGGACCTGGAAAATGTAATGTGGAGTGAGATAAATCAGATATGAAAACTTGAATACCATATGTTATCTCTCATCTGAGTGAGGCAGAGTACACACTAAGAGAAAAATAAAGGATACAGGAGAAAGGGGATCGGTGTCTTACAGATGGGTCCAGGGGTCCGAGGCTGAGGGGTGAGGACGAGGCCATGGGGAAGTAGGGAGAATGAGGATGTGCCAGGTACAAGGCCCTCATAACCTCAGTCAGTGTGGATGTTATGTGCCACAGACATGAGCTAAAATTGATGATATCAAAAAGAATGAAAGGGGGGAAAGGGGAACTAGAGGAGGGGGGAGGGGAGGGAAGGAGATTAAGGAAAGTAGAAGCTGTATTATGTACATGTGCCAACTCCCCAGGATGACTGTAAAAAGCATGTACTTCATTTTTCCTTCTTTTCTCATAGTTTTTCCTTTCCTTTCTTTCCTTTCCACCATCCCCCACTTCCACTTTGAACCTTTGCTTCCTATTTCACACTATCTATTATACATTTTGGTCTTCATTTACACTTTCAGTTTCTCACACCAGAGAGACTGTTTGGTATTTACACATGTGTGACATATTCATTTCACTGCTTTCATAATTAGTGAGGGAAGGAAGGGGAATGGGAAAAAACAAGAACTAAGATATATCATGTACCAGTACAAATTCTCAATTATGAATAGGATCATAATGTACACCTATGATGTACCAATAAAGTTAATAAAAAGTACTTGTACTGCAAACATAAATAAAATACTAATAAAATAAAAAGTTTAAGGAAAAGATTCCATAGAGATTCTAAATTTCAGTTTTTCCACATTATACATTCATATTTTGAAAATAAAATAGTGACAATAAAAATTGAATAAGGCAGTTATATCATAAGAAAAGTTAATATCTTCACTTACATTTTTATTTATGTATCAACTACACATTTTACCTTATACTCACATTTAGAAGTTTGGAGTTTTCATATGAGGCTTATTAGAAAAGAGACAACAACATTCTGATTAAAATTTACAACCCTGCTCTACCTCAAGTTGTGTAATCATCATGTGTCCTCCAAAAATTATAATTTTCTCTACATTTTGTACTTGGAGGTTTATATTTATTAAGTCAAGTTTATGACTTTGGCATAGAGAATCCAGAATTTGTTCATGTCAGGTGGGAATTTATTTTAGCCCTTTCCTTCCACTAAATTTCTGACGCAGGTGTTTGTCACGTATTAGAAAATAGCCACATCACTGAGAAAGGTGCTCTGTCAGCTTCTCATTAGCCTGAGGAGCCAGAATCTCAGGGAGTGCAAGCTCCAGGCTCTCTGTTTGCTTTGCATGACCAGCTGTGCCAGAGTGAGCCAGTGAGAGCAGGAGGGTCCAGGTGAGAGCCGCTCTCCCACCCAGATAGAAAGCCAGGGAGGACCAGCTCCAGCACTGGACTGGTTAGGAGCAGACTTCCCCTGGAAGTGACTCAGAATCAAACCTCCTCAGTGTCTCTGTGACTGAGCCTCTCATGCATATGGCCAAAGCCAAATGTGCCACACCCTGTAACTCTTCTCTTTGGCAGTTACTTTTCAGTTTTCCAGTATACACAGAAAACTAAAAGGAGCTAACTTAGCCAAACTCATCACTGTATATCTACAATGCTAACACAATTCAAAATGCATAATGTACTCACTATAACACTATTGAGAAAATGTCACATTTAAATTTTATTTTCAAGATTTGTGGCTAAGGAAGATGGGACAAAAAGATTTATAGCTGATAAACTAGAGGAGTCAAAAATGCCCCACCAATGCTGAGTCTCTTTGCTGTTTTGTGACTTCTGACTGCCTGTTAGGCCTCGTGGTCCCTTCACAGGGACAGAGCTCAGAGCCACAGAGCAGAACCATGAGTCAGATTCAGCACCTCCTGACCTGCAAGGGTCATGGACAGGTGGTTGGGCAGCCTTATTTTATACAGCCAAGGCAAACCATTTGTCTACCATTTATTTAATACAGTAAATAATTAAAAGAAGTTTCAATTCTTTAATAGTAAGTTTAATCATTTTAATGTGTACATTTTTATACCATATTAACATTTTTACATATGATCCAATTACTAAACTTAAAAATCTAGAATTCAGCCTGAGATTGTCTTGCCTTTTTAGTTCCAAGA